ATTGTGCTCTCAGACGAGTGCGATAAATTTCCAACAGAATTTCTTGTGGGACCAAGAAACGAGCTCGAAGAGCTTTTCGTGTGGCAAGTTCATCATCCGTTCTGGCCGGGGGTCCGATGATTTGGACGCGTAACGATCGAGTTACCGCGTCCTTTGCTGCAATAGCGGGATCCGCTGGGCGGAAACCATACTCCACGAGGATCAATGACCAGCCGTGGATCGGCGCGCTTTAGCGCCGCCTTACGGGCAGCGTCTAGCGACCGCCTCTGTCCCCCGCCAAGGTCATTGGTGGTGACACCACGTGCCTCAGTTGACGAGAAGTCAGGGAACGGACATGGGGTCCGCAAGACACGCGCAGGGATCAGATCGCGCCGCTGGCGCAGCTCGTCATTCCCGTCATCCCATGCGGAAACAGGAGTGTTAGAATCATAGCCGACCACATTCTCAGCGAAGCCACTCGGCACTGAAAGCGTGCGCGGAGTACGACGTTTGTGCTGATCGAGCCTGGGATATACACCCCTCGGTGCTGCGGACGCACTGTCCGACGATGCACCGAGCGCGGGAGATGAAGTTGGGCTCTGCCCATGCTCGCCGTCAGAACCGGCGAGCTTTTGGTGTCATTGACACAGGGCTCATTGAGCAAGGAAGTTGTTGTTTCAACAAATGGAGTTGCAGTGTCTAACGGACGCGCGAGCCTCGTTGGCAGTAATCGATTGGAACTGTAAATGTCCTCAATCTTAATGGGGGAGGGTGCAACGGGATTACACGTACCATGGTAACAAGGGTGTGTGTCACACAAGGTGTGCATGGTGTGGCTGCACCCAAACAAGTATATGGTATGTGGCTAGGTAGCCAGTAGTTTTGCATATTTAGATTTTACTATATATATTTAGTATATTTAGAAACTTTCAAAATTAGGATAAAAAGATAAATTAAAGACAGTTCCGATTTTGGACAGAAGTGTTCGTTTGCCTTTGTTAAGGCTTCTAAGTACATTTAGAGGCAGCAGATTGCGATATGCTGTACTTGTACTTGGTTCTTGTAAGGAACGAAAGGTCGGTGACCTAAAGTCGCTTCCTCAAGCGCAAAGCTACGGCAGCCCCGCTGCACTAAGGCTTTAGATATTGTCGGCTTTTCGGCAATTAGAACAAATAAATACAGTTTCAATTTTGAACGGAAGAGTTCATTTACCTTGGTTAAGGTCTTGAGTACTTAGAAGCAGTGGATTGCGACCCGCTACACTCGTACTGGTTCTTGTAAAGAGCGTGAGGTCGGTGACCTTAGCTTAGCTTTTTCTTAGCAAAGAACTAAGGCAGCCCCGCCACAGTCGATGTGCTCGTGGAAGCCGCAAGGGTTGGACATGGACCGATGGGGTCGCTGTCAATAACTCCGTTATTGTTGCAGACAACTACAAAGACTAGTTTGATGCTCGACACGACATGTACAGTCGTTGTTTCGTGTACGCTACAAAATAGACGGTTACAGTTGCATAGTGCGTACGTTTTAACTCTGACGTGCTTTCGATCTAATAAGAGTTGTGATCGACGCACTGGAAGCACAAAAAACTGCCTCGCTCAACGCATTAACTTACCCCTCAGCATGTCATCGGAGAATTAATTCTTACGCAAGACGCCAATGATCCATCATGGACAAAAACGGCAGAAGCGAGTCCGTGTTAGAGGGATCTTCTTTAGAAATGTTAAGCTTTTCGTATTCATATTGAGTTTGCAATGCATTTGAAAAAAAAGCAAAACTGCTATTTTCACATTGTCTTTATAATATTTTATTTTTCTGAACATCTAGGTTTTTTTACCCAAGTCCGGTACTTTATATATAGGTCCGGGCTCTAAAGGCACCTGTATGCTTACGACCATACGCCTCTTCGGAGCCGAATAGCCCATCTGGAAGAGAACTTGAATGAGATTTGAAAGCTTTCAACACAGCCCGAAAGCTATCGTTGATTGCGCTGAATGTCATCCTTCCCGTCTGTAATTACAATCACTCCGGAGTATGTTTTGAATTAGGGCTGTATTATCGTATATTTACTAAAGTATAAATGTAAACATCTCAAGCTGACTAGAGTTGAAACCAATTATAGGTGGTATATACGTTTTAGCTAGCTTTGATGTTAAGAAACGCTTTAGGTTTGATCACGTGTAAGCTCTGATTACACATCTGGTGATACCAACTCTCTGTGCGCAAATACGCTAATCTGAGAGACAATGCTTTATCCGTGCGATGTGCGCGTTGGCATTGGGTGGCACTTGTTGTCAGTTCGACGCCGAAGTTTGAATAAGACTATATCTATGTTTCTGCGAGAATGGAATATAAAATGTTTACCTATCTCATACTTGATCAACAAAACACGATAAGTAAGAGCTAGTCTGGAGAAGACAACACAGCTGCTAGCAAAAAGCTCGGAAGCAGTTGCTGCTGACTAGACTGTCTTTACCACCTGGGATAGTCGTCGCTAGACCTAGGTGTGAAACAACCGGCTTCTATTTCTGGTTAACGGAATGATACGAGCGTAAGGACGCAAAGAGCTCCCTCTTGTGAGTATCATGAACTTATGCCCTGCGCGCCCTCGTCTCTCTCGTTTAAAAGATAAACATTTCAACTTCAATATAATGTCGACCGACAAACTCCCATGTGGATCTCTACTGTGTACGAGTAGAACCAGATCTTCTCACTGAGAAGGTTCTGAGTTCTATTGTATCTTAAGGTGGCTGAAATCAATGGTGCCAGGTCTGGAGTAAAACTCTCTCGGGTCGTTGACATCAACGGTCTGGGCATTATAAAGCCGCAAAAAATTCTTGTTGTTCTATGGTTATCTTGCGGCTATGTGCAACTTTCAAATCTAGAAAGAAATGCGTGAATGCATTGAAAGCCCAAAGTTACGGAAGCTATGTTTGTGCGCCTCGCGACCGGAAATTTTGTTAAGGTGTGGAATAGGAAATAAATACTTTGTTTGCGTAGCCTGCTGTTTAGTTCTAGAATGTACGATACGATCTTATCATACCTAAAATACAACGAGAAAAAAGAAAATTGGAAGTCAAATATAATAGGTGTCAGAGACTTACCTTATATTCTAGGTTTGATAACCTCGAAGCCATGGAATCCATGATAACTTCAGGCCGTCGTACAAATATGCGCAGCGCACGACTGTTAGAAGCTGATCATTTGAGCCATTGAATCAAGGGATACTACACCCGTTCGATTCGCGATGGGGCTACTGGAATAATTGATGATATTCTTTCAGCCTTTCTGTAAAGTTCAGGGCCTTGGACTATGCGAAACGCTTCTAGGTCCTGGACCTGGGTTTGAGAAAAGATCTAACGTATTGCGTGTCTGCAACGGTACGAGCCATGGATCCACTGGAAGCCAAGATGATTCAGTATCACGCTCTTCTCACATAGTGGAGCTTAATACGTTAATTTACCCGCCTTAATCGCAGACGCGCGTCTAGAGTGACAACCAAGCTACAAAACCGTTGGTGTTAGATGTAGAAATATCCAAAATGATTAGCGGTGATATTGTTTTAATTCCTTGAGCTTAACTATGCAGCCGAAACCTGTAATGCCCCGTGTTGAACGATGAGACGCATTATAGCGATCTCATATAGTGATTCTGCGAGGGTATCTCTGTTGAGACAAAAGCTAGCAACTTTATGAGTCCGGGGTATAAGGAAAAGACCCTGGGGTCAATATGGAAGACGATACAGCTGGGTCAACAACACATAGCCTCGTGCCCATCGTGCAAAGTATTGTGGTTTTATGGCGCTGTTGCGAACGAGTCTTTTCAAACGCAACTTATATGACCGGAGTAGTCCTTTATTCCAACACTATCACATGTCATTGCTCCTTTAGAGCCTGATAAAGTCAGACAGTCACGTTTACAACGGTCATGAAGATCAAAACCGTTAAGTTCATCTTTATTGGCTCAGTAAGACGATGTGTCCGGTAGAGCGACGAGTCTCGGGTGTAAATATGTACATAGAGTTTAAGACATTTAGATATTAGAGATGGTGTATTGACAAGCTATAAAAATTTAATGCTTATACGCTGATGTATGGCCTAAAGCGATCTGGGGACGAGTTTTGATCAAAGGCATATTGTAAATCACTGACACATGCCTAATTTAAACGATATTTGTTCATCCCCGGTAGTAGAGATTCTAATTCGACTGCTTTTGGGTGTCTGGAATTGCACTTGACACATATCTTGAAAATTGATGCCTCAGAAATGCGCCTTACTAGAAATTCCAATAAAAGCTTATTGACACATTGCGGGGGGAAGTTGCAGCCCAAATTTACTACTAACGTATTCATGGTACATTACCATAATATCTCATTCTGCGTCCTTAATCTAAATGACACTAGTATAATGTATAGAAACACCATAATAAGGTACGTACCCTGTGACGCTCTTTGAAGTGTTCCGGTGTAGTCGCTCGACAGGTATAGGTGAGGGTCTGCATTATTGTCAACGTGCCCGGCTATCTTTGTGAGACACTTCTGACCGCACATATTGCAACTTCAATATTTCCGCTAACGGCTGGATCAGCTGCGGGAGCCTTTTATGATGATTTGCCACTGGTTGTGTAGCCTGATGACAGTATTTTTGGGTTCTATTGCTCAATTTGAGCATTGGGTACGGAAGGCTGGCTGCCTTTCTAATTTTGCGGCTTCGCAATCGAATTGTAAGTCGGACCATAATCGTTAGTAAGAAGCGCATTGCGCCGGACGCCTCTGCCGTTAACCAGGGCCAGCGATACCATAGTTTGCTGAAGGATTAGTGCAACGCCAACTTGTTAATTTGTTCAAGAATTCTTCTAAGCTCCCACGAGTGCGGTAGCGAGGATGACCCTTCAAGCCGCAAGTTCTTCCATATAGACGACAAAACGTCTTGCCATTTTAGCAGGACCAGCTAGGGCGACCCGACTTTTCAAATCCGACGAGATTCGGCGATTCTCTTCAACAGTCTCCATACGCGTCCGCAAAAAAAGTTGTATCTTCTTGTGACCCCATGCCTGCAGCACCTAATTGATTGCATTGACTTTTTTGTCCTTCTATATTTCTTACTATAATTTCGCTTTTCATTGCTTTGAGCCAATCATTCTTGTACTTGATCTTCTTGGCTTCTTCGTACGTAGCTGTGCTTTTTGTATTGTCAGCAATGTTGAAACAGAACGACCCTTTGTCATTTTCATAGTCATCGGCAGTAAATTCGCCACGCCTCATGTTTGCGAACTCTTGTTCATAGCGCACTACAGCTCGCTGCTTGTTTACTGGACGAAACATCCATTCTTCTTCGCCGTCCCTTCCTGGCGTGCTCGACCCACGTGTTGGTATAGCACTATTTGGTGCGTCACTTCCTCGTACCTCTTGAGGAGTCTTGGCGCCGTGCGTGGTAATTCTTCACGTCGTCGTGTGCTCTCTTCTATCGGTGTAGTATCGTAGTCTTGTTCATGATCCGTCATTGCTTCTTCCATGCCAATGACACCAATGACACCTCTCTCCCGCGCTGGATAGGGTAACTAACACTTCGCGATATTACAATCGATCCATCACTTGCATCGAACAGCCTATACGCATTGTGTTGTTTAGAATAGCCGAAAAAAATATCACTCTACTTCCAATCCATTCAATTTCTAGCGTGTTTGTTTTGCCACATGAGCATAACACTGGCTGCCAAAGACACGTATATTTTCCATACGCGGCTTTCTCCTAAACATCATTTCGAACGAACTTAAGTCTGTCTTCGAAGTATTCGGCAATACACTGCGAATATCTGCAGCAGTCATCATTGCTCCCTACCACTATGACTAATCCAAGCTGCTGTTCTTTAGCATGCAGCGCGTCATCCTACCAGACTGCAATACGTACGCTCAGCCGTTCCGTTCTGTTCAGGGCTGTATGACACAGCTTGATATGGGCATACTTGCAAAATGCATGGATCGACCCATTCTTGAACTCGACCCGTAGTTGCTACGCAGTACATTCACGTTTATACCGGTTGTCGTCTTGAGTACATTTTTAGACTTTGATAAATGCTTCTGTTACTTCGCTCTTCTTTCTCATCGGATACAACACAGTATACCGACTCTTCATCAATATGAAGCTCACGACGTACAGATAACCCGACTTGGACTTTGATGTGATCGGTCCGACCACATCCGAACACACAACATTGTAATTGCGCGCACACTCTCTGGCTTCACGCTTCTCTACACTTGAATTAAACGTTTTTCGCACTTGTTTCGCAGTCGCACATATACCACATAGGTTTTTGGATACAATCGGCAATTGATTGCTCTATCGTTTATCAGCTTATTTACCGCTTGATACAATGCGTGACCAAGTCGCCGATGCCATAAAAAAAGCCTCATCTTCGACCATATGACACTCACCCGTAGTTTCAGTGTTTGGGTACATGAGCTTACCATGCCTTCTACCACCTGTCATTTGCAACACCATCACGATCAATAACACATTTGTCACGTGTCATATTGACAGTCGTTCCTCGCGCAGTTGCGGCTGTCAGCGAGAACAGATTCTTGCTGAGATCTTTAACGTATAGGGTGCTCTCAGACTTGCATTCACCCACTACTTCCATAACCGAGTACCTCTAATTTCGCACCACTCTTCGCGCTTGTCACATTGCGCTCTGTTGATTCTTCCATGTAGTTTATATACGCGTTGCGCTCCTTACAGATGTGTGCAGATGCTCGGCTATCCATGATTTGATTCATATTGGTCATACTCTCTGTCACGTTAAGCGCGACGTTCGACTGATCCGTACTTCCTCCAGATCCCTTGCCACTTGATCGACAATCACTTGCATAATGGCCCTTCTTGCCGCACTTAAATCATGCGCCCGATGGTCCTGTCGACCGTCCACCATTTTGCTTCTTCACATCTTTCTTACTTTTCTTCTTGTTGACAAGCTTCGCGTCATTTTCCCAATACGCGACGACTCCTTCTGACGCACATCTCCTGCAATAAGTTTGCTCACCAAATTTGCAAAGCTGGAATGCATTACTGCCATGCGGAACGCTTGTACCACTAGACTCTCAAACGATCCTGGTAGACTTCTCAATAGTGTTGCGCAAATATCTTCTTCGCTTGGACTACAATTAGCGCTCTTCATTTCCATCACTAACTGCTCGAGCTCCATCACATGTTTACTGATGTTTGCAGCGGTGTACTTGAACGAGGAAAACTTTTCCTCTAACTGCAATCGATCAGCCATGTACCTTGTTTGGTGGAACCCATCTAGCGTCGACCATGATTGCTGCTTCTTCGTTACCAACGTTTCCGCTCCAGCAGCAGCATCCCATAGTCCCTTCGTCATGAGATACAACTTCATCTAGAAACTCCATAATGTAAAGTTGGGGTCGTAAAAGAGCTCGATTTGATGTTGGAATCCTTCATTTGGCTCATTAGCTGTTTGAAATGCTAAAGAGTTATGTCGTTGGTCCGATACTGACGGACTTGACTTGTTATCCACCAAGCTTCACTAAAGTGGTACAACTTCTTTGCACCTTCAGCCCACAGAACTACAACCAAGTTGACCTCTATTAACGGACTAGCGGGACAAGCACAATGGCATTAAATCGCAGACCTAATCTCAGAGTTGGTTGTGTGATGTTTAAGGCAACTTCGGTAAGCACGGACACTTATAGGCTGCTACCAGGATCAACGTTGCGAGTGCGGCGACAGGAAGAGGAGCTTGACTTGAGTAGTTGGGGAGAAAACTAATAAGTAAATTGATTTCTTGTAAGGTCCTTAGTTCGCTAGCGCTACCTCTAAGCCTTCAAGTCGCAAAAGATTTTCTTAACTAGCCAATCATATATCGTATATCGAACTCTTGTACATTTTGCCCGCAATCATGTGTATTCAGTGACAATCAATAAACGTAAACACGAGAATAATCAACCGTGAGTGATGTTTTCCACACTAATTGCGAGATCGATGCACCATCACTACTTTCAACATGTGCAATATTGTATTTTGCACAGTAATACATAAGTGTAGTGTAAGGTGAATGTGCATAGCTGTAGACCACATACTCCGTTGGAAGAAAGTGCTATCATTATGCAAGTCTGGGTCGGCCTGATCCCGCAATCAGCTACCTACTCATGAGTTTCTACACTTTCGTAATTGAAGAAAAAGGCCGTGCACATTACACATAAGAAGCGCTAGCCCTCGATCTCGCTTCAACAAGAACATAGAGGTTGAGGTCATCTGCTTCAGTCAGACACGTAACCGACATTTAATTAAGTAACCACACTTCAAATTTGGTCTACTATATCACTATTCAAAAAAATATTTGGATAACAAATACTATATCTACCATTTACAGTTATAAATATTCTGTGTATTGCGTAGCGTATGTTTATATTTTACGTATCTGACGGCAATTTTTTTACAGCACTATTTTCATCTCCCGCGCCAAGATCTGGCATCATGCTTCGGCGTAGTACCAAACTTCAAGAGTTTTGACTTTAACTTTAAGTACAAGTAAATTTGAGTAAAGTTGATGTAATGTACGCACTCTGTTACAGGTCGAACGATTATCTGATATTTAGACAGCGTGACCGCATGAATTTGACTCGCGCGTGCAGCTTTGATACATCCTCTGAAATTTTTACAGACGGTAAGACCGCAGTAGTTGATGGTGGACATAAGTTCGATATACGATATATGATTGGCTAGTTAAAAAAATCTTTTGCGACTTGAAGGCTTAGAGGTAGCGCTAGCAAACTAAGGACCTTACAAGTAATCAGTTTACTTCTCAGTTTTCTCCCAACTACTTGAAAGTAGGTAATGCAGTGTTGGTAAGCTTGTATATTGAGAAGTAAGAGAAGATTTCTAGCTACTCGTGGCACCTTACCTG